AGCAGGAATCCTCTTGGGTTGGTATAGCAAAAATATTCCCTGACCTCTGGTTTCCTTGTAGTCATTTTCTGTTCATGGGTCTCCAACTTAGTCCGTGTTGTATTCTGAGTTGAACTCAATGTCTTTCCTCCATTACAAAACTCTATTGGAATAGTCTCCCTGAATAAAGTCTACCTTATTGTCTTTCAAAATTTTTTCTTTTATACACCAGAGGAAGCATGTGTTCACCAAAGAAAGAGCGAGAAAGCACTCCCCTCTGTCCCCTGCAATGAGACATGGTTATGCCACAATCCCTTTTCCTACATTTCTCCATCTTGTTGGGATTTGGGTCATTCACACACATGTGCCTGGTGTGTTTCTTAAGTCACCAGAACTGGGATTCAAACCACATAGTGGGCCATGTGCTGTCTGGCTCCCTTAACCACCAGGCCATGGGGCCTTACCTTTTTTCACAAGTATCATACAATATTTCTCTTCAATACCTGGAGCCACCAGAAACTGGAAGAAACAAGGGAGAATTTTTTCCTAGAGCCTTCAAAGGGAGCATGGCCTTTGTATCATATTTATTTCAGATTTCTAGGCTCCAGAACTGAGAGAATAAACTGCCTATTTTTTTTTTTTGAGAGGTTTTTCGCTATAGGGTGCGTGTGCTCGCCAGACAGACAGAGAGAGACAGAGAGACAGAAAGCCACCCCCCCCCCCCCCAGGGGGGGGGGCCATGCCACAATCCCTTCTCTTCCATTCTCTTCTCGGGATCTTGGGCATGCATGCACACGTGCCCGGCATGAGTTTTAAGCCACCGGGTTCAGGATGCGAACCGCAGTCGACTACATGGGAATCCAGTGACATAGCCATTACGCTAACTGCTGGTCCCAGAATAAACTGCTTTTTAAGTAAGCTAGTTAGTGAAGCCTGAGGAAAGGTATACAACTACTCTCAGAGAAGAAGATATCTGAAGAGTGATGTTCAAGAATTTCAGGAGAAGGGATAGATTTTCAGGGTTAGGGCATGGTAGGGCTTGCCCATTTACAAATGTGTTTCTTTCTTTTTTTAAGAAAGATGTTTTGCTATAGGGCATATGTACTTGCTGGAGAGAGAGAGAGAGAGAGAGAGAGGGAAACCAAGAAATCAAGAAATCATCCCCTGGGGGCAGGGTGGGGGGGATGGCCATGCTGCAATCTCTTCTCCTCTCAGGATTTTGGGCACACATGCACATGCACCCAGCATGAGTTTTAAGCTGCCAGGTCTGGGACTCAATGTGGTCGACTACATGGGAGTCCATCGATGTAACCATTTCACCATCTGCTGGTCTCAAGAGATGTGTTTCCGAATCATACCTGAGACCTTCTTCAAGGTACTCAAGCCCATTCCTTGATTTGGAAGAGACTTATTCTCACCCTGTCTACCCCATGGTTGTCAGGAGCCAGTGATTATGAGAATATGTCATATTCATGTGCTCAAGTCACTTTGAGAACATCTTCCTGGATAGAGGGACACAGGCCACGATGTACTAGGTCGTCAGGAAAGTCAGAACATTTTATTTTTTTTTTTGAGAGGTTTTTCGCTATAGGGCGCGTGTGCTCACCAGACAGACAGAGAGACAGAAAGCGAGAAATCACCCCCCAGATGGCCACGCCACGCCGCAATCTCTTCTCCTCCATTCTCCTCTCGGGATCTTGGGCATGCACGCACACGCGCCCAACCTGAGTTTTAAGCCATCGGGTCCAGGACGCGAACTGCGGTCGACTACATGGGAGTCCAGCGACATAGCCATTACAGTAACTGCTGGTTCCCAGAACATATTTTTCTAAGCAAAAATGCTTCATGACTTTCCCGACAGCCCAATACTTTTCCCAGTGTGTCTAAGGGTGTGTGGTTGTGCTGGAGGGGGACAGGGAGTAATTAGGACAGGCTTTTCACATAGAAGGGTAACTTCACTGGGTGCTTTCTGGAATCTGTGGCTGATTGTTTCTTGCCCAGGGAGGTTGACTGTCTTGTCTCATCCCTGACACCCTTTGTTAGTGTATGGGAGGAAAACAAAACATTTTCCCTCTATCTTTTTTTTTTTTTTAATAATTATTTTATTTAACTTTATTTATTTATTTTTCTTTTTTTCACCTTGATAAAATCCTTGCTTGTAATTTAGAACCCCTGGACTTCATACACTGTTTTCATAAATCAAGTAAAAATAAATGTATTGGATGAAAGAATATGGTATGCCATGCCAACCAAATTAAAATTTCATTCTACTCATGTTATTCGCCATATAAACAAACATAAATGACATGAAATAGGAAAAACACCAGGACTTCCTAAACTTGAAAAACTAAGAAACTAAAGAAAATTCTTTTAAGAAATACAGAAAGAAAAAATTTTTTTAATGTGGCTAATATGCCCTCCTTTGGCATTAAGACACATTTTTGTTTGTTTGTAACCTTAATATAGCCATATTTTCATTCTTCATAAAAATCAAGACTCCCAATAATAACGGTGTATCACTATACTAATTTTTTCAAAATGCACCACTAAAAATGTCTTATACACACCAATTTCTAACCTCTTAGAATATTCTGTGCAATAGATTTTAATCACTGGAATGAATTGCTCAGAAAAGCAGCACTGTCTCAATGGTGATATGATTTGGTAGTCAACACTCCTGTTTTCCAGTAAAAAGGAGATTTCGTGAACACACTGGGATCCTGTTGTTTCATCGATCAAGAGAACGTTTCTGAGCAGCTTCTGAGCAAACATTTCTTAAGAGGTTGATGACAGATCTGGGGTCTTCACTTCTCATAATGGCACTGCCAGACCCAATCATGTTAGCTCCCGCCTCTGCACATTCATGGACAGTTTCAGGCCCTACTCCACCCTTGACCTCTATATCCAAAGATGGGAACTGGGTCCTCAACCAATGAACCTTTGGCATCATATCTTCCATAAATTTCTGCCCTCCAAATCCAGGCTCCACCGTCATAACCAAGGCCATATCTATTTGGTTAGCCCATGGTGCCAAGTATTCAACTGTAGTTCCTGGTTTGATGGCAAGGCCAACCTTCATCCCATTCTCCCAAATGTCTTTAATCAAAGTGCCTGGATTCTCAGTAGCCTCAAGGTGAAAAGTGTATTAATTGGCTCCTGTTACAGCCATTGGCTTTACCCGCTGCTCTGGCCTGGATACCATCATGTGCATGTCAAAGAAAGGGTCCTGGCCTAGCTGCTTTTCGGAGGCTTTCTACCACAGGGTGACCAAAGGTGATGTTGGGAACAAAAAGCTGGTCCATTACATCCAGGTGCAGATAATCAGCCCTAGAGTATAGCATCTGGAGGCACTCGGCCCCCAAATTGGCAAGATCACTGTTGAGGATGGACGGGTCAATCTTGCAGCCCAATGCCATAGTGCTAGTTCCCTACAGCCAACTTTATTTATTTATTTTTAGTTTAACCAGATAGGGAGAGAGAGAGAGAAAGAGAGAAAGCAAGCCGCCAGGTCTGGGACTCGAACCACTGTGGGCCATATGGGAGTCCAGCACACTCAACCTCTACTTGACATACTTGACACCCCCCCCCCATTCCAGTCTATCTTATGTTCATTAGCTGGGGCCTTAAAAATAAGACTGATAAAAGACAGATTAACAAGAGAAAAACAAATAGAAGTTTATTAACACACACACTGTGTGCACACGCACATAGGAGGACTTGGTTACGAGTTTCTCTAAGGCAGGGACAGAAGTGGGGGCAGTGAAGAGTTCAATGTATGGCATATACCCACACTAGGGTATATGGAGAATCTTAAGGGAATATTCAATTTTAGATAAATGCCGAAACAAAAGAACTTTGAGTTTTTAGGGTGGCAAATTGTGGGAAAGTAAATATTTGGGGGAAATTAATGGAAAATACGACCCAGTTTGTAAGCTTTGTTACATAGATCCCTGTGTCGCCCTCTCTGGGTTGATAAGGGTCTAGCACTGTCTCCAGTGATTAACTTGTGTCCTTCCTGGCAGATGGGGAAAGGGGACATCTTTATAAATGTATGTCTTGTTTTTAGGCAATTAAGGGGAGACAGAGTTTTTCTTGTATCTGTTTCTTCTCAATTGTCCAAAGCTTAAAATAATCAATATGCCAAAGCGCATGTGTTGGGGCAGCATATTCTTCTACCATTAGATAGAGTAAAGAGCATCGTATCCCTAGGAACTGGTTAACATGAGGCATTAAGTGGCAGCAGCAGGACGGGACCTTGCGTGGTGGGCTGGGTCTGGTCGGTGGCATGGAGGGGCCGCAGGCCGCTGTGGAGAACGTCTTCCTGCACAACTTCAGCGCGCGGCTGTGGGAGCAGCTCATCCACCTTCACTGCACGCTGCTTAGCGACTCCGCCCTTCTTGTAGGTGGGCACCACGCTGCACCTGCGCCCCACGCTGCACCTGCGCCCCACGCTGCACCTGCGCAAACTCGACGGGCCCATGTGCAGCTGTTTTGATTCCATCCCTGTGTCCAGCTCTCTCCTTAGAGACGCTTCCCACACGACTTCCACTGGCCTTGCCCAGCGCCTAGCCAGAAAGACCAACAAACAGGCCTTTGTCAGCTATAACCTTCCAAACACAGACGGTAACTTTGCATTACTTGCAGAGAACAGGATCAAGGAAGAAACGGAGGCTTTTCCGAAAAAGTTCTAGCTGAGTGGCAGAAGTGAGAATTTGTAATTAGGTATGATACACATGTCAATGAATGGATTGAATTTCATTTTCCAAAGTTAAATAAAATAAAATAAAATAAAAATGAATTAAGCGACAGCAAAGAAATAGCATTAGGGGCTAGCTCAATGGCCTAGTGGTTAAGCAAGCAGGATTTCACATGTCTGACCACAGTCTGATCCAGCCCTGGAGACTTGAAAAACATGTCAGGACCCAAATCCTAATAGGTTAGAGAGATGAAGGAGAAGAGATTGTGGCATGACCACACCCCACTGGAGGATGCTTTTCCATCTCTCTCTCTCTCTCTCTGGTGAGTGCATGGGTACCAAAGAAAAGGGGGGTGGGATTCAGCTAGTGGTGTGGTGGTTAAGGGAGCTTAATCCCACATGGTCACATACATGTTTGAGTCCTGGACAAAGTGCATGTGTGTGCATGACCAAAATACCAAGAAGAGACTGGAGGAAGAAGGGGCTGTGATATGGCTGCCCCCTAGCGGGGACGATTCGTTTTTCTCACTGGTGATCTTATTACATAGATCAATTTTATCTTGCCATTAACAATAAGTTTCTTTTCTGTTTAGCTCATTACCTAATTCTCCATAATAAAAATAAGCCCAGGAATTAAGCAAATAAGGCTCTGTTCCTTCTTCCCTCCTCTTCTGCAGAATCATTTCATGACTATTATGAAAAATCCTGGAACCAGCCTGACAAATAAAGAATTTGATTAGTGGGGAGTGTTGGGAGTATTCATACTTTGCTAATATTTCACTATTATGTAATTTCTATTTGTTCCAAGATTTCCTTCTTCCTAAAAATGGCTAAGCTTCAGTTTCATTTGTATATAGTTTTTCTGAAGTGTGTTAGAACACATAACTTGCACACACATTCTGCAAATCTTTTTCTCTCTCTCTGGTCCCTAAATAATTAAAAGAAATTCTCTCTTGTGCTATCATAGAAATTAGGAGAACTTCCAAGGCAATGTGAAGTAGATAAAATATTTAGAACACCTAGTTCAAGTTCATTTCTAAAAATGTAATTATCTCTTCAAAGGCAGACAAAATACCTGTCTTCAAATATTTGAACTGTACCCCTATGGAAACATATTAGGCTTAGTCTATATCATCCTTGGGATGAAAATGAGAAATCAGGAGTGGAAGGTACATAAAGGCAGATTTCAAGTACATAAAAAGAACTTTCTAAATATTTAAAGATACCCGATAATGAAATGTGTTACTTTGAGAAAGGTGAGTTTCCTGTCTCAGGGATGTTTAAATACCCCAAGAGTGAGCAATTCTTTGCCTCGGTACTGTGGGCCTATGTGAGCACGAGGTAGGATTTGCATTAGAGCAGAGGCAATATGGAGCAATGGTTAAGAGCTTGCATTCAAAGCATTGCTTGACTACTGTAGAGGAGATGAGATCGTTACCTTTCTGCCCACTAGAGTTCTCAGCTGGGACTCACTGTAACAAACACAGAATACTAAGAGTAAAACAGATAAGTCTAATAACATGTATAGCTCCTGTACACATGGGAAATTCTGTGGAAAATCTCAAAGAGTAAAAGCTCCAAGAATAAATTTGAGAGGGGCAGTTCTGGCTTAAGACAAAAAGGAACATGAGGCACAGCTGATTATGAGATGGTTAGGAGAAGTAGGGTAGACAAGAGCAAGACTGTTCCATTTCTGAGAGTCTCTAGCGATTTAGTCATCCTCTTCCTGGTACAGAGAAGGAGATAGGCTTACAAATAGAGATGTGGCTGACCCATTGGCCTAGTGGTTAAGTAAGCTGAATTCCATCTGGTAGATTGTGGTTTGAATCCTGGTCCTGCCAGGGCAGCTTGAAAAACATATAGGGTGTGTGTGTATGTGTGTGTGTGTGTGTGTGTGTGTGTGTGTATGTGGCCAAAATCCTGAGGATGGAGAAATGGTGGAGAAGGGATTATGGTGTGACCAGTCCCATTAGAGGATACTTTCTCTCTCTCCTTCTCTGTCTTTCTCTCTGGCAGTGGAAAAAAAAAGTTGAAATTTTTTCCTTACAGATGTTAAGTTTCTCTTAGAAAATGGGAACTTCTACTTTGCTTTCAGAGCTTTTCCTGTGTCTGCTGTTTCCCAAAATAATCAGCTCAAAATAATCCTTATGCCAAAGAAGCATCTTTAGGGTAGCAGATTCTGGTCTCCTGAGTCATCTTTCAGAGAGGTGTGTCCTGACTCCTATTACCACTCACCATTTAGGTGGCCTTATTTATTCTGAGCCTCAGTGTATTCATCAGTTAAATGTTATGTAACACAATATGTTTATGTTATATATATATGCATATATACTATATGTTGTTTTAAAGATGAAATGAGATGAGTATATAGCATGAAGAACATAATAAATAATAATCGTCATTACAATCATATCAGCATATATATCTATACACTGATATATATACACCATGGTATGTATATATATATATATTCACACACACTGATATATATAGTGTGTATATATACCTATATACCAGAATATATAGGTATTATGCAAAAAAAGGTTCAGGCAGTCAGATAAGTTTGGGAACACATATTTCACACAATTTAAACAAGTTCCTGTGTTGTACAATGTCTTAAAATTTTTTATGTCCTCATGTACATTGTGAAGTTCTAAGAGGGAAATAAAGCATGAAAGATTTTTTTCATTTTAAAAAATATTTTATTATCATAATCTGTTTTATATTACATTGAATCACATATATCTTTACAGTGTATTACATTTCTTTTTGCAGCACGATTACCATGCATATCAGTCGAGACAAAGACATTGCTATCCACATCATCATCACCATCAAATAGTTTTTCATCATTGTTTTCAGATTATTATTATTTATTCTCAAGCATGAAAGATTTTTCAAACTTTCTGAATCATGGTATTATTTTGTTTCTTTTTTTTTTAAAAATATTTATTCATCTATTTACTTATTTTTAGCTTGTCAGAGAGAGATAGTGAGAGAGAGAAAGCAAACCACCAGGTCTGGTACTTGAACCGTGTTTGGTCATGTGGGAGTCCAGCCCCTTAACCATCACACCATCTGCTGGCCCCTATGTTTCTAGTCACCTTTAGGAGCCAGTGCTCCATGGAATTCACCTTGGGAAAGACTGGTTAGATGAATTCTAACTAAGTTCCCTTGCTCACGATTAGGTGCTTCTGTGGTTCTTCTGCTTAAGGATGCTCAGGGCTTTCTTCATTAACTTCTCAAAGTCTTTGAAATACTCTTTAAACACTGTTTTTTTTTTTTTTTTTTTTATATTTTCTAAATTTTTTTTTTTTTTTTTTTTTTTTTTTTTTTTTTTTTTTTTTTTTTTGCTATAGGGTGCATGTGCTCACTGGAAAGAGACAAACAGAAATAGAAAAAGAGAGAAAAAGCAAGAAATAACCCCCCTGGGGGAGATGGCTATGCTGCAATCCCTTTCCCCCATTCCCTCAGAATTCTGGGTATGCATAAACATGCACCTGGTGTGATTTTCAAGTCAGGGACTCAAACCATGAAGTCAGCCAAGTGAGATTCAGTCATCTTAACCTCCATGCCACTGCTGGTCCCTAAATCGTTGACTCTTAAAAGTCTAAGGACTTGCAGGAGATACACTTCCCAAGGCCGGATCATAGGTTGAGTAGTTACGGAAACAGGAAAAATGTATTTCCCGTACTTCCAGTGTGGACAGTTTACTGACATTTCCAGGTGAATAGAGATACTAGGTTCTACTCTCATGACAAGGTCCCCACCCAGCATGCCCCTGTTTGTTTTTTGAGTATTGCTAGAGAGTGCACCAGAAGAGGGTTACTTTGACAAGGCCATAAAGAAGATAAAAAGAAAAAAAAAAGAAAAAGAAGAAGAAAGATGCCAGATTAGCTGCATTCTGTAGTTGTATGGGAAAGTTCTGGGTTTGTGTCCTGGGGGCTTCCTATATTCACAGGATATCCGTACACATGATCATGATCTTGGCTGGCTGTGGCTGGGGGTAGATCACAGTGTGAAGATCCTGTGGGAGGTGGCTCTCTCTCTTTCTCTTATGGAAGAAATAAAATTTAAAAAGAATAAGAGATGGAACACCCCAATTAAGGAGAGCAGAGAGTTCAGTTCCTAATTCTGTGGTTAACTCCTAGAACAAGCGTATTTTATACTGAATGGATTTTTTGTCTGGCTAGGACAGGTGGGCAGGCTTCTACACAGAGATAAAGAGATGACTACAGTCTAAACTTTGTGTGGGAAAAAGCCGAGATGAGTGAGTGTTTGTGGGATAAGGTAACAGACTGGTATACCCATTTGACTGTCCCAAAGGCACATTAACCTTAATTTCTCCAAAACCCAACTCATGCTTTTCACACCTTCCAACCCTGAAGTCTGTTTCTCTGCTAGAGTTCCCTCTTACAATAAACCACTATCCATCCTGTCACTCAAACCAGAATCCTAAATCTTTTTTTTTTTTTTTGTAGAGAGATTTTTTACTATAGGGTGCATGTGCTTGCCGGAGAGACAGAGAGACAGAAAGTGAGAAATCACCCCTCTAGGGGAGATGGCCATGCCGTAGTCTCTTCTCCTCCAGTCTCCTCTTGGGATCTTAGGCACACATGCACATGTGCCTGGCGTGAGTTTTAAGTCACTGGGTCCAGGACTTGAACCATGGTTGATGACATGGGAGTCCAGAGATGTAACCATTACACCATCTGCTGGTCCTCCTAAATCATTTTTGATGCATCCCGTTCCTTCTACATCTGCCCATATCTAATCTATTACCAGCCCAGTTATCATCTATCTATTTTTTGACTTCACCTCCCTTTCCCTGCTTCTGCACTATTACTGAGGCCAAGGCTCATCTTGTCTCACGGGGACTGCTTTAATAAGAACCTTTGATCCAGTCTCTTATAAATCTGTAGTCCAGCTTTAGTCCACCTTCCCACTGCAACTAGTTGGATCTTTTCAAAACACAAATCTGATCACCAACCTCCT